CAGACCACCATAATCCTGGAGGTGGGAATAGTTTAAAAACACTTTAAAAACACTCTACCTGACTGTTAGAAATCTTGACATTATTGCTGTCAGCCTGTTTCTCACAGGTGAGGAGTGAAAACGCTTCTGCTTAGCATCTTTCTCCTCTGTTTCTGGCCCACCTCCAGTCCCATCTCCCCAGGATTCCTTACGCATCGCTAATAGGCAGCTGCAATTAAAGTCCTTTAAAACAGCCTGCTCTCGTACCAGTTGACTGCAAGCTCTACAGCAGCGTCACAACCTGTAGTTTTTGCTAAGGACATGCAGTTTTTCCAGCAGTTTGAATATCTTTGATCTCTTCCATTTTTAAAGGGCCATCAGGAAGACTGATTGTTCCTAGCTAATTGCAGAGAGAGAAAAGAGGAAGGGAAGCTGGTTGTCAGTAATAGAAGAATGCTCTGATGTCTAGGTAGACTTCAGTGATTATAATGCACGACGGCTGGTGTCTGATTTGGCAAGCTTGTTCCTGTACCAAGAGACTGTACAAACTGGGTCCAGCCCAGACTATATCAGCAAGGTCTCGGTGTTTAGTGGTGTCTTTGGAGGCTGTTCAAGAAAAGGCAGATCCAGTTCTCAGATGCCTCAAGCTTTCCCCAGAGCGGGCATCACCACTGCTGAGACAGCTTTCCAGAGCACGGACCCTCCTGTGGGTATGGCCTGACCATAGCTCTGCTAGGAGCAGCAGAATGTCCACTGGCTGTACCAAGGGCTGGTCTTTATCCTCACAGAACGACAGCCTTCTCTCCTTGCCCTGTTAGCACAAGGGACACCCTCCAGGAGTGGTTGCTCTGTTCCCTTTGGGGAAGGGATGGATATAACTTTCTATTCAAAGCCAACAGGGTAGTCTGTGAGTCAGAACAGAGGATTTCTTTGCCGTACTTTCAGGTCTGCCATCCAGAGAAGAAGAGTGAAAAGGGCTGTTTAAGAGATGTAAGATGAAGTGGCTGCCTCTCTTCTTCCACCAGTTAAGTGAAGCAGTTTCTCAGACCAATTGAGGTTGTGCTTAAAGTAAGAAACTCCAAGCAGGAAAACGCCTTGAGCCATGTGTGGTGTGCACACCCCACGCATGCCTCCCCTCCTGCCATCCAGGGCTGTCACAGAAGTCCACATCTTCTTGAAATGCTTTTGAGCTGAAACAGAAGGGGTGCTGGTGTGTATTTAACATGGAGATATCAATGTGTAATAGTAACAGGAGTATTGTGACATGATCAGTGAGGTGAAGTTACTGTCCAACAAGAAGAGGTGATTCTTTTCCTGTACTAATGTTCCAATCAGGCTTAGGGGAGCATCGTGGGAAAGGGGAAAAAGGACCACACCATAAATCTGATGAGCTGCTGCAAGCACAGACTGATGGAGCAATGGGTGAACATTATCTTAGGGGAATTTGCAGAGCCAGCAAGGAAGACACGAGGTTTTCTCAGAGACTGGAGTTTGGAGGCAAGAAAGAGCCAGAGAACTTCTAAAGGGAACTTGCGCTAAAATGCCACAGGACAAATGGTTTAACTTAATTGTACCAGCCTTGTCAGCCCAGCTGCAGACTGAGAAGCAATTTAATCCACTGAGGAGCCCCCTGCTATCTGATTAAAACACAAACCAGAACAAAAGTCCTATTTTATACCAAATTTTGCACATTATTTAGATTATAAATGCATTTGCTTTGTAGTTGTAAGATCTATAGGTTGGGAGGCTCTGGACCAACCTTTGGCCTGACAGTAAAAGAAGGATTTCCTTCTCTGGGCTTGGGAAACCTGTTGAAGGCTATGGTCTAGCCAGGACTAATGTGGGAGGAGCCGTGGTGCAAAAACCTCTGTAATCTGTAGCTTATGCCAGTCAGCAAAGCAATGCCAGCCATGCTGGCAGTGGAGTGCATGCCTGATGCAGCCTTTCTTGGCAGCAGGTTTGACTCATTTCTCTGCGCATCCCATTTTCCCTGAGGAGTCTGAGTGCACACTGCCATAGCCACTGTTCGACTTCTCGTATCGCCTTGACTTTGTCCACTCGGCAGATGCATCATTGATTGTAGCAGTGCTCTCTTGCAGCTTTGCTGTGCTATCTATCAGAGACTTCTAAACTACACACTAAGGATAAAACAAGAGGAGGGAGGAAAGCAGATTTGGGAAGATGCATCTTATCTGTGCACTTCCTTTTGCACTGGAAATTGGATCTTGCTGCCTTTTTTTTTTGTATGGCTTCTTTGGAACATAAGAGTTTTCTTTAAGCAAAGAATATAATTGTCAACCAGACTATATCATTGTTAAGCTGCTAAAAAGTATAGCTCTAGCTAAGCAAGGCCTTGGGATAGGTTGTCTTTTGTCCTGGGCTTCTTAGAAGCTTTTGTGGTGGTTTTATCTTAAAGGAAGTCTCTCTGCATGTCTGAGCAGGGGAGAGGAGGGAGACTGCAAAACTTCTCTGCAGTTCTGAGGCTGGCAAAATGTATGTGTGATCTGCAGATGTTCTCTAGCTCTGAGAGCATCTTGATGTGGCTCACTGAGCTCTGCCACTTGCCCCTGAATTTTCCTTTCATGCTTCCCCTCAGCTTATTTTCACCTCATTCAATAACTATTAACATAATGCTGCTGTTAGAAGCCAGCAGGGGCTCATTGCTACTCTCCTACAGTGGCTCTCTGCCCTGATACACTCACCTGTCTGCGTAAATTGAGCTAGTAAAGAGAAGGCAATTTCTAGGACACAAAGACTTTAACAGCCAGATTTGTGCCTGGTGTAAATCAGCACCGCTTTTTGCTATGGAGCTTTTCCAGCAATGAGTGGTTCAGCCCAGGTGAGAATTCTTGGGCAGGAGATTGGAAAACCTCAAGGCAATTATTCTTTATTTCCTTTTGCCTTTCCCTGCAGCATCTCCGGAGCTGTCATCCACTCAAGCATCTGGGCACAGACCTCCATCAAAAAGACAACCTTGTCCAGCTGTGCCTCGTTTTCATCAGTGCTACACACTCAGCTCTGGCTCCCAGGAGTGGCTCTTCTCATCCTGACCAAGTAGCTTTGACCCTTGAGGGGCTGTTCTGGGCCATGATGAAAGTCTCATGTGACCCTGATAATAAATGTCCTTTGGAGCCCTGGTTATTTAAACCTAACAGTTGAGCCCCAGTTCAGCAGGTGATGGATGCATATGATGCATTTTTAAACATCAGTTCAGTAAGGGAGCAGCAAAACCCACATTAGGGTGTTTCTTTTGCTTCTAAGTCCTGCTTTAGAGAGCCAAAAGATCTTGCACAGAAAAAAAAAAACAAGGAAAACAAAGGAAACATCAATGTTAACCTCAGCAGAATCCAAATTCCAGGGCTTGCTTTTTTGCACTGTGATGCTCCAAGTTAACAGTGACTGGGACTGCGGATGGGCATTAAATGGTCGTCACAGGCGGATGATGTTGTGGTGCAAGGGAGTGATCCAGCATCGCATCCCAGAGCCAGCTGTCTTACATGAGCAAGGAAGGTGGGCCAGATTCATCCGCTGTGCGATTCGTGGCCTTTTTATCTCCAGATTTTCCACTTATTTTTATATCTGCCAAGAGGGTAGTTTAGAGAACATTACATTGTCATAACATTGTATTCCACTGGCAATATTCCTTAATTGTAGTAATAATGCATAATCAGCCATATATGTATGCATTAATATATTAGCTGCCTAGCTTCTCCGCTAACTTCTGCTACACCCAACAACAGCCCTGCTTGGCTGCCCCATTACCTGAGTTTCAGGGTATGAATTTCTGTCTGTTACCTGCTGGGGTGTGTGTTGGTTTTGCAACAGGCGGCGGTGATGTTGCTGTCAGAAAGCCATGGAGGTTTATTGTGGAGCCTGTGATGTTTGTACAGTGAGATTTGCAGAGGACCCAACAGCATTGCAGTGCATTGATGGGCTGGCAAAGGGGGAACTCTTGGCACGCTCACCAACCCAAAGGAGTAAAGGTACCGCAGCCTCTGCCTCTAGCTGTGTGTGCTCAGAGTGTCAGAGAACAAGCCCTTGCTTTTGGAGTGGCCAGAGTCTGCTGAAGGTTTTACTGTGGTTTCTTTTCCTGGGGGCACATGCTGGATATGTAGGAGCAGACATTGCTCCCTGGGCAGAGGGGAGCAGCTATTGAGTGGGAAGGAAGGCCACAAGGAAGAGTCAGAAATATTTCTCTTTTAATAAAACCATTTGTCTGCAGTAACAGGCAGCAATTAACAGCAGGGCAGCTTCAGCTGATCCCCGCTTCTGACTGGAGTGTGTGTGATTTAATGAAGTGCTCCACATCCCACCAGTCATTTACTGCTTCCCACCCAGATTTGGACAGGCTTCTGAGCACAGGCCTACAGAAGCAAAACCACATGCCACAGTCCCAAGTATTAGAGTTACAGGCTTGCCTCTGAAGCCACTGTAAGCCAGCTGAAGAAAGGCAAGTGGTGTCTATGAGGGGTAAAAATGGTACAAAGAAAAGCATGCTGTGATGTGCACTTGTGCTAGGAGGGTCCAACACCAGGGGAAACAACAGTGATGCTAGATGAAAATAGATCAGACAACAGAAAAGACCAACAACTGCTGCTTGTCTCTGCAAAAGCGTTGAATGGCATCTGCTGAATGACAGTGCAACTCCATTTGCAAAGTCCTATTTTTAATTGCAACAAAGAGCCACAAACGGCCATGTGCAGAATAAATGGATGGCTTTTTGCTGTGTTTTGCAAAGGTGAAATATGGGACTGTGGAAGCGGGTGACATTGGTGAAGGGGCTAGCTTTGAAACGATAAAGGAAAGTGAGCAGGGGAGGCAAAAGGAGGGAATTGGAAGAAATGGAGCAAGAGGGACATTATTTTGTGTAAATGAAATTTAAATAAAAAAGGATGACACTGGCTGTGATCCTGTAATGCTGAAGTACTTTAAGGCCAACAGTAATAAGAGACTTATATATAACGTGAGTTCCCCATGAGTGCCAGGTCTACCTCTTTAATAATGGAACTGATGATCACATTCATCAAGAAAACAAATAAACACCCTTCATATTGACCAAAAATGGTAGCCTTGGTCACTTAACATCCTCAGAGTTCACCTGTATCAAGGTGAACAACAGCAAAATCTACCAAAAAAAAGGTAAGAAAGTGCCTAAGAAATGTTAGATTGCCATTTGACCTGTTTTTCAAGTCTCTCTATTGAAATAGCTGGGCACAGCAGAGGGTCCTGTTCTGTGCCTTGCTGCTTCCAGGCTGCTGTAGAAGTTGATTTCTTCCACTCCAGTCTAATCAGCTCAACAAGAGTTGCAGAGAAGCTCCCATCTGAACAGTGACAGCCATAAAGGAAAACTGTAAGCCCCCTCTGCCTGGAGGGTTGTCGTGGGTACTGGCATATGCACGATGGGTGGATTCCTCCTAAAGGCCAGCAGACTTTGTCACTTAAGAAAGGGAAGAAGGAATATGGGAATATTCAATCACAGCCATTCAGATCTGGCAGCATTAAAGGAACAATTCCTGCTATTCCCAGAGAAATGCCACACAGCAACGCTATTATTAGACCTGGCTCAGATTTTGTCTGGTGTTGTCGCATGCCACGATCTACCAAGACGAAGATGTTTACGTACTCGCATGGAGGCATATGGGTCGAGAGGGCCACTGATGCAGTCAGTCACAGAGCAGATGCGAGGCAAGACAGGTAGCAGCCACAGAGGCAATTGGTTTGTAGAATAGAAGACAGGCAGAACCTTGCCTCTGGTCTCATGCCAGCTGGCTCAGTGAGCTTCAGGGAAGAAACAGCAGAGAATTATTAGCTCTCTGGAATAAGAGACTGCTGTTAAAGGATGACTTGTGACACCAAGAAAAACTGTACAGCTCCCTGCCACAGGATGTTGAGCTCAGTGGTATATATTTGTTCAAAAATACTCAGACTTGTTCATTCACATTCAGTTATTATTAAACATGACAGTTTGGATGTAACCTCCTGTCCTGGGTTCAGCAGTAGCAGTCATTTTTTCCCTTCTTGGTAGCTGGTGCAGTGCAGTGTTTTGACTTTCAGCTTGGGAACAGAGCTGATAACAAGGATGTTTTGGTTTGGCCAAGGACTTTGTGAGCCTCATGCTCTGCCAGGGAGGAGGGGAGCCAGGAGGAAGCAGAGACAGGACACCTGACCCAAACTGACCAAAGAGGTATTCCATACCACAGCACGTCATGCCCAGGATGTAACTGGGAGTTAGCCGGAAGGGCGGGGAGACTGCAGGGTTGGAGGAGGTATCGGTCAGAGCTTGGTCGGGCTGGGGGGGCGAGTTATCAGTCGGCTGGTGGTGAGATGATGTATTCTCTTCCCTTGTTATTTCCTTTATCATTATTATCATTGGTGGTAGCAGTAGTGATTTGTGTTATACCTTAGTTACTAAACTGTTCTTATCTCAACCCGTGGGAGTTGCATTCTTTTCGATTCTCCTCTCCGTCCCTCCGAGAGCAGGGGGAGGGCAAGAAAGGGGGGGAAGTGAGTGAACGAGTTACCTGACTGGGTTTAAACCACTACAGTTCTTTTTGGCGCCCAACGTGGGGCACGAAGGGTTGAGATAACGACAGATCTGACCAGATTAATAGTCACTCATCACAATGTCGATTTATTGGCTCTCAGAGTTGTTTCTCTTGATCTCACAGCTTCAGAATGTTGTAACTTACGTAGTGCCGGTATTTGCTGTGTTAGTGTTTATCAAGTGCGGGGCCTGGGCTAAGGTTCTTGTCTCACTGTGCTTTATGGCAATGACTTGTAATACGGGCGGGCTCCAGCAGCAGGGCGAGACGGACGTGGCCGTGGACTTGTACCTGGCCGTCCGGCTGCTCTTCACCGGCCTGGCCCTCACCCTACTCTCCATCTTCGTGAGGCTGCGGGGAGCCGAGGGGGAGCGGCCCCGGGAGCCGGCGGCTGCTGAAGCGGCCCGGGAGAGCGGCCCCGGGAACCAAGCGGCGGCGGGAGCGGGGCCGGAGGCCGCGAGGGGACGGCTGCCGGTGGAGGAGGTCGGGGCGGTCGAGGAGAGGAAGGAGGCGGCTGCCGAGCAGCGGGAAAAGGCGGCGGAGGAGCCGAGCCCCGCGGAAGAGCCGAGCCCCGCGGCCGAGCCGAGCCCCGCGACGGCCGAGAGCATTTCCCGGAAGCCGCCCGCCGAGCCCCAGGAGGATGCAGGAGACCACGCAGCATTTCCCAGCAAGGCAGAGGAGGAAGAGCTGGACTCGGGAAAAGAGAAGCTGGCGGTGGGAGAGCCGGCAAGCACAGCAGCTACACCAGCCCCAGTGACAAGCACAGCAGCTACACCAGCCCCAGTGACAAGCACAGCAGCTACACCAGCCCCAGTGACAAGTACAGCAGCTACACCAGCCCCAGTGACAAGTACAGCAGCATCAACTGAGAGTTCTGAAGGTTTTGAATGGCCTTTGGGTGTCCTTGGGACCTGCCTGCTGATTGTGATGGGGATCAGCATGTTGGCACACACACAGACTGTGTGCTACCCACAACCATTTTGTCTGATCTCAAAAGTTAAGCAGAGTGAGGTTTGGGTCTTGTCTGGGGTTAGACGAGGATATAGGGGGACCAAGAGGTTTTCTCCAAGGCTGGACAGTGATGAGTGGCAGGCTGTGTGGGACAGTATGGGCAAGTATCTAGTCCACTGGGCCCCTCCAGTGCTTTGGAAGCGTCGGAGATGGAAGGCAGCTGTATGGAGTCCCCAGCAGCAAGCTGCAGAAACTGCTTAAGGGGACAGTGAACTATTTTAAGCCTGGTGGGCCCATGGCACTTCAGGCCATCAGAGCAGAGATGCAACACAGAGATGGACTCATGATCGAGGGGTGGACTTAGCAATGGACACTATTGCCCAGGTTATTCACGAGTGTGAACACTGCACACAGTCTCTCCTGCTCTGGAAGACTGTTACAAGAGATGGAGCCTGACATCATGGACCAGATGGACTCAGCAGCTTTATAGGGATATAGCTTTATAGTCCATGCACTTAGATAAGAGTGGAGTGATGGGTGTATTGAAAATGTGGGATCTGAGCATGACGTGAATGGTATGGAATAAGGGGTGGATAATGTCCTGGGTTCAGCAGTAGCAGTCATTTTTTCCCTTCTTGGTAGCTGGTGCAGTGCAGTGTTTTGACTTTCAGCTCGGGAACAGAGCTGATAACAAGCGATGTTTTGGTTTGGCCAAGGACTTTGTGAGCCTCATGCTCTGCCAGGGAGGAGGGGAGCCAGGAGGAAGCAGAGACAGGACACCTGACCCAAACTGACCAAAGAGGTATTCCATACCACAGCACGTCATGCCCAGGATGTAACTGGGAGTTAGCCGGAAGGGCGGGGAGACTGCAGGGTTGGAGGAGGTATCGGTCAGAGCTTGGTCGGGCTGGGGGGGCGAGTTATCGGTCGGCTGGTGGTGAGATGATGTATTCTCTTCTCTTGTTATTTCCTTTATCATTATTATCATTGGTGGTAGCAGTAGTGATTTGTGTTATACCTTAGTTACTAAACTGTTCTTATCTCAACCCGTGGGAGTTGCATTCTTTTCGATTCTCCTCTCCGTCCCTCCGAGAGCAGGGGGAGGGCAAGAAAGGGGGGGAAGTGAGCGAACGAGTTACCTGACTGGGTTTAAACCACTACACCTCCTTGCCAGAAAGTGTCTGAGCATTGTCAGATGTTCATTGTCAGATGTGAGTCATTTCATATTGGCCCTTTCCCTTACAAACTTTCCCTGTGAGTTGTCTATTGGGCAGCAGCAAAGCAAATCCACATGGCATAGTAAAGGCATAAAATGGCTGCGTGGCAGCATATATTCACTGCAGCAAATGCCATGCTAATGCATGTACCCAGATGTTGAGAGGTAGCTGCCCTTCAGCTCTCCCGGAGTCTGAGCAGAGAATATCTGTCAGCCCTGAAGACCACATAGGCACATCCTTAGACAGACAGATCCTTATCTCAGAGGCAAAGTTATTAGTTGTTCCCTTGTCTGCCCTTGAGAGAGCATAGTTATAGGCCATCTCTTGCTGTGTGAGCTCCAAGTCCCTCAAAGCCTTCCCTGCCTGCTTAGCTTCATGCAGTACAAACAGCCCTACTGAACTTCATCAGGCGACTCACAGTGCGTAACATTAACAGAGCAAGATTTTGTATGTCCAGGGCTTAAAGCTGCAGCCTAGCTCAGAAAAAGGATCTATTGGTACCGTACCATTTCTAACATCGTCTTTTCCTAGAGGAGCAGTGCTGGCTTTTGACTAGCATGTGCTGCGATAGGGCAGTGGTACTCATAATTGATTTTCCCATTCCAGAGAAGCAGTTGTACCTATAAGCAAATACTCTCTGAATTCCACCCAGAGGGCAGAAAAGGGTATTTATATGACAAGCTGTTTCTAGACAAATGTAGGGAGTTGACAGAAAATTAAATAGAAGCCGCAATCTTCAGTATGGGTTAAACCTCAGAGATAGCTCCTTTCAATCTCTTCCTGGTTTGGGGAGCCCTATATATTCTCCAGTGGATACCTGCATGGATGGATTCAATTAAGCCACTGGCAACCAGCTGGCTGGGTTTAGTTACCTTCCACCAGCCCCCAGGTGTAGTCCTTGGACCGCTGATCTGTGAGCACGGGTTTTGCAATCAGTGATTGTAATTCTCCAAGGTTTGGGGGCACCTTGATGTACAGAGAGGGTGGGGGTATAATCTCCTCATAAATTCACGCCTCAGATCTGGTACCATGTGCAAGCCTTTCCTTTGCCATCACACAGGTAGGAACTGATGAAGTTCTCCTTTGCCAGATGAAGGTGGAAGGTGCATAGAGCCGCAGAGTGGACCGTCCAGGGACAATGTCCAGATCCGGACCAGATCATCACCTTTCTCCCTGAGGAGAAGATACGAAATGGAGCAAACGTCCCGAGTTTGAAACCCACACATTTGCTAACGAGACTGGGAACGCAGGGCACGGTACCCAACCCCGCATCCCCCGCACGAGGAGATGCCGCCGCCGAGCCGGGTCTCTCCCCCCGGTGAGGCAAACGGCCCCGGTTGGCCTCGGCTCGCACAGAGCGCTCCGTTCCCCCGGGCTATCGCTCCCGGTGGGTGTGCGAAGGAGGGGGTGTTGGGGGGGAAATGACAGCGCTTTTGTTGCGGGGTCCAACACTGACACCTACCGACCCCGGCGATGGGAACGGCCCTCAGCGCCTGCCGCTGCCTCTGAGCGACTCCGCGCAGGAGGCTCGGCAGCAAGGATGTGCAGGGCTGTTGCTCCCTTCATTCCTTCTGTGCTCGGTTCTTCCTCCCCGCTCTCCGAGCCTCAGCGGGGGCTGCCCAGCCCGGACGCACAGGCTGGGAGCACTGGGTACCAGCACAGGGTACGGTGGTGCTTCCTGCCCCGTGAGGTTTGTCTCTGCCTCCAGCAAGTTTTGAGCCTGAGGGCTTCGGTAGGGGAAAATGGGTGGTTTGTTTTTAACAGCCCTCGGTCGCAGTCCGCGGAACCGCTTTCGGTGTCCGTGTCAACGCTGAGCACCATCGCTGTGCTGCAGTGCAGAGAAGGGCTTTGACTGAGCAGATTGCCAGGCAGTGAGTGAAACAGCGCTGGTCTGTTTAAAGCAGGAAAGGTCTGTTCTGGACCTGCCACCGACCAGTAGCACCTGATGACCCCGTTACCTGCAGGGCTTGGGTGACAGGCTTTCCTCAACTGTTTTATGCTGTTATTTTGCCTTCAGGCAAGGGTTTGGAGAGAGGCAGGGCTTCTTGTGCCCTCAAGTGACTGCTGCAGGCACCCTTCTCCACTGATCAAAGGTGAAAGCTGGGAAGTGGCAGAAGCAGGTGTTGGATGCAGACACTGCAGATGTTGCATGCAGACACTCAAAGGAGAAGGAAAAGAGGAGCAGCAAAGGGGTTCAAAATAGAGCCGGATCAATATCCATTGCCTTCTGTCAATACATCCAGTAGTTAAGCACCAGGGAGGCAGAAGAACCGTGAAAGGCAATGGACAAAGCTAGTAGAAACCAAGAGGAACACCCTGCCTATGAGTAAACTCAGGCTGCAAATCAGACTTCCACTCATGAGAAGAGTGAAGCCAGCCATTGGAAGGAAGAGCAGGGACAGCATTTACTGCAGCTAAGGTGGAGGTTGATTGGTTTATGCAGTTCATGTCATGGTAGCCAGTAGTCACAGCAGACACTTTTTGGGTACTTAGGCATGAGACCTTTTACAAACTCCTGTGTTGCTGTGGAGCAGGTGAATCCCCAAACCTGGCTACAACCAAAGGGCTTCCATTAAAAACCTGTAGTCAGGAAAGCATATGCTGCTGTGAGACAAGTCCTTTAATGGCACATCATATTGGAGATACAAGGGGAAGTTTCAAGATGTCTGAGGGGAGCCCAGAGCCTGGCAGCATCGCCAAAACAAGATGCAGCCTTACCAGCGTGTTTGTGCTGCCACTGAATCTCTGATGCTGAAAAAAGCTTGTAGCAAGCCAGCATAAATGTAATACGGGTCAGTGGCATAGGTTTTGCTTTTTGTTTATTAGAACGTGACAAGAATGGAATCATTTTTGTCTGGTTTGATTATTTAAGTTCCTGGGTATAAACAAGCGGTTTGAGCTTTCCGGTTAGGTGGTTACTGCTCAACCCCAGCTGCAGCTTTAGCAAACCAAGCCCACCAGGTCAACAGAGCAGCAAGTAGACAGGTGAAGGGGGGTGTCGGTGCGTGCCTACAGTTACAAGTAAGAAAGCACAATGAGATGTTTTAGTGTGAGGTGTCCCTGCCCATGGCAGGGGGGTTGGAACTGGACGATCTTAAGGTCCTTTCCCACCCTAACTATTCTATGATTCTATGTTGAGACTTGCCCAAGCTGCAGCCAGAGTGAGATGGGAGGCAGGGAATGGGGACTCAAGGGCAGACTTGTCACCCAGCCAGGAGGGTGGGCAGCAGCCAGGGTGACTGTCACCAAATGTATATGAGGTTGGGCTGTTAAGATGACAACAAGCTTAGAAGCTGACAATGCTGACAAGTGGGATGCTGTGCAGGCTTTCTGGAGGTCGTAATCAAGTGTGACAGGGACTCGTCCCCAGATTGCCTGACCTGCTCCATAGTTCTTATTCATCTCCAGTGCTGTACTTAGGGGTGGTCTCCAACACTAAGAGCTGTCTCTTCTCAGGAGCCCAGATCTGCAACGCAGTGAAGAGGGGACTGCAGTTTAGCCACGTTGCTTTCACTTCTGCAAGTATATTCTTGGAGCTTCCCCACACAAAGCTCGACAGGAAGGCATCATGATGGCTAACGGCTTCAAGCCGTCCCTTTTTATTGTAGTTTTGCTTTTGTGTTATGTAGGATATGTAATGTATTGCATATTTTTAATCATGGACCCTGCCTCCTCCATGCTTCCAGGCAGCCTTTTCCCCCTGCCTCATTCTAGCAGCTTTCTTGGGCTACATACTCATTCAGAAAGCACTGGGAATAGGTTCTCAAGCCGTTTGCCAGAGCACTGTTATCACTCAGGAAACGCTTCAGAAACAGCTTTTAGAATCTTATTTCACAAGGAGTGAGCTACTTATCCGTGACTCCTTGGGTCATTGTAGTAATTTCTCATTGTAATAAAATGTGGGTGAGATACTGGAGATCAGTGAAGGCTGACAGCTGTACTCAAAGAGTTAAACAATAACCCAAGTAATAAGCCATATTATAGGTATATCCAAGCGTGATCACAATATAGGGGCAAGGGCAGCTAAATTAAGAGAGAGATCAGGCTTGGTGGTTAAAACACTAGGAAGGAGCTAAATCTTTATCTCCCTGGCTATGTCTACACCATCGCTTGGTGGTGGCCACCTGCAAGATGCAGGAAGGCATGGGGGGCTGGGGTAGCTGTGTTTACAGCCGAGACACATCTCATCCTCCGTCCTCAACAAGCAGGAGCAGTCCTTCCCATGCCTCTCCAGCCCTGCCCTGGGCAGTTTCTGCGCCCTGATTAATAACCCCTGGTGCCCCACGGTGCCCTGCCAGCCATGCAAGGGATGCTCAGGGCTCTGCCCCACCTTCATCTCTCCTTCCCCCTCTGCCTCAGCTACCCATGACAGTGGGCACTGCGTGGATTTGAGGATTATGGGGCTGTGAAGTGCACTGGCCTCCTTAGGATAGGCGAGAAAAATGTGCAGAAAAGCATCCCCTTGCTACAGCACGCCCTGGTTCATTCCCAGTTATCGCTGCTGGCAGGGGCCCCCCCAGGCTCCCTCTCCTGTATGTGCCCATCCAAAGAGTAAGGCTGCTGCTCCTTTTTCATCTCCTCTTCCCTTGCAGTTTGGGCTCTCCTTCCATTAAATAGTGGGTGGGGATGCATGAAAAATTAAAATGTGTTATTACTTACTCCCCTTTTGAACTATTTCCTTCCCTGAGGGTTATCTGCTTCTTAACTCTACCTGGTGACAGGGGCACATTGCGCATTGCTTTCATTAATCTCCATCCCACACAAGCCTCGCTGCTCGGGGAGGTTATCAAAATTAAAATGCCAGACCTTTGTCTGAAAGCATTTCCTTACCCATTATCACACCAAGGCTTGTGAGGGTTGAAAGAAAGGGGGAGATTGGTGAGGGGTGGGAGAGGGAAGGACGTGAATTTTTACACAGGAAGGGGGAAGAGAATTGCTTTTAATTGGAAAACGCGGTGATAAAATCACAAAATTAATGAAGTGCAAGAGCTCAAGGTCAGTGCAGTACCTGAAGATGCTTTAAGCACATTTTCTAGCTTGGTCTCTACGAAAACAAGCCAGTCTGTGCATGTCTGTTTGCTTTGCCTTCCCTCTCCATGACTCTAAAACAGCCAAAAATGAGAGAGGAATGGAGACCTCCTAAATAAATTCATTTCTCTGCTTTTCATTAAATAGCCGCTGGCAGAGATGTGGGACCAGGCTCAAGCAATCAGTTGTTTCCCAACCCACTTTCGATGCTCTTAGCTCTAACTTTTGAATGATGCACAGCACCCCACATGTGTTAGCACCAAACCCTCTGCAGGAGGAGGGCTGCAAGGGAGGAAGGGGGCTCATTCTATGACTAATGGAGTTAGTTGTAACTAAAGGAGATGCTAACAGCTGAAGGGGAACTACGTCCTCCGGTTCGGTTAAAAAAGGAACAGAAAGAAACCCCCTGGGAAGTCAGTTTCATTACCTCTGCGGCTCATAGAGCGCCTCAGCTTTTTTAACATCATCACAC